AAATCCTTTCAGAAAAGGTTTGTATCGCTTCCTATATAAAGGAAAAGGTGATTTATGTATCAAACAAGTCTCTTTCTTCGTCACTAGAAGTACCAAACCCTAAAATTAAGAAAGCTTTTTTTATGATGATGATGGAGACGGAATTGCAGAAGAGTTTTACATGGATGATAGACAACTTCTCCGAAAGGAAATCTCCAATGAGGTCTACTCTATTCTCAAGCGGCGGCTACGAATGGTAAAACGACAAGAACCGAATCATAACTTAAAACTCAAAATTGTCTAGAATAATTCTACAAATAAACTTGTATCGTACGTAGCCCTAACTAGGGTTTGATCCTCTGTTTTTTCTGTTCTTTCTCTCAGGTATGTTCTACTTCATCCCAAGGGAGAAGACGTTAATGGTTACTTGTCTCTGTATCTCTGCGTTGCAAACCCTAAATCATTACAACCTGGATGGAAAAGGCGAGTCAATATGCGGTTCGTTATCTCGAATCAATCAGGCAAAGAGATCCATAGAACATCTGGTAAAATAAATTTATCTTCCAAGTTTTGAATCTGTATAAGTACATATCTAATTTATGAAGAGGGGAAAAAAAAGCTTAAACTTATCTTCTTTTGATTTGTTTTTACAGAAGGATCTGAGTTGTTTCGTGCTGAGATCCCTGGCTGGGGTTTTCGAAAGGCGATGCGTCTTTCCAAGTTACAAGATAAAGAGTTGTTAGAGAACAACACACTCATGATTGAAGTCTACACTAATGTTACTGAAGTTGTTCATAAAGGAGTTGAGACTGGGAATGAGTTCGTAGATTTCAGAGGTTTCCGTGTTCTTTCTTCTCAAGTAAGTTAAGAATTAATCCATAAGATATAAAACCTGAGTTTGGATTTGGTTAGCATAAATTTATATATTTTTCTTGTTTTTGGACAGGTTATTTCACTGAGCCGGATTTTCGCGAAGCACCCAAACTTTGCAGTAGATATCAAACCAAGAAGCAGAGTGATAAAGACAGCATTCATCAATACTCTACTCGACCTTATCGAAGCACTAGAAAGGCCTCCAGAGAGCTTCTCAAAGATTGAACTAGACACGGTATACAACAGGTGGGTTGATCTAATGGACAAGGGTTTCAAGGTGGACTGGTTGAAGTCAAAGCTTGATAATGTTTGGTTGGAGTGGAAGAAGAAAAATGAAGATGCGGTTCGGATCCAAGAACTCGAGGAAAACGTCAAGAATCTTAAGATGGTGTGTATGGAACGCAAAATTGAATTGGACAAGGAGAAGGACAAATCTTCTACTGCTTCTAAAGAAAATTTGTGGTTGGAGAAGACGGTGTCAGATCTCAAAGTTGAATTAGAGAAGGAGAAGGCCATATATGATGCTAGAGCTTCGTGGTTCCGGGAGAAACTGTTCGATCTCATAGAAGAATTGAACAAGGAGAAGGCCAAATCTGATACTAAACCTAAAGTTTTGTGGTTAGAGAAGACGGTATCAGATCTCAAAGTTGAACTGGACAAGGAGAAGGCCATATCTTCTAAGGCTCGTGAAAGAGTTTCTTGGTTGGAGAAGGCGGTGTCAAATCTCAAAGTTAAGTTGGAGAAGGAGAAGGCCAAATCTGATACTAAACCTGATGACGTTTCTTTGTTAGAGAAGACTTTGTTGGAGAAGACGGTGTCAGATCTCAAAGTTGAAGTGGAGAAGGAGAAGGCCAAATCTTCTGCTAAAACTTCGTGGTTGGAGAAGAAGGTGTCAGATCTCAAAGGTGAATTGGACAAGGAGAAGGCCAAATCTGCTACTAAACCTAGAGTTTGGTCGTTTGAGAAGGCCGTGGAGTCAGATTTCGAAGACAATGAGAAATCTGATACTGAACCTAATGTTTTCCCGTTGGGAGAGAATATTTCTTTTAGGAGACTTCAGAGTTTTGGAATTCGAAGAAGGAGATTACGGTAAAACAGAGTGAAAAACAGAATTTCTATGTTTATTGATTCTTTATTGGTTTACCTCCTTTTATGTTATCCTTCAAATATATTTTAGTTAATGTGTTGCAGAATATAAACAAGAAGTTCTTCTTTATTTCCCACCAAATTTGAATCACATAACTTTGTCAAAAAAACCCATCACATAAGTTTGTTACTTTCTTACAAAAGCTCATGAGGAACCTTTATATCTCCTCTGCATAAGGGTATGTGAGTTATGTTATCAATCCATTGGTACAAATGTGGCATATACAAGTCTCTTCCTCTCCATAGGTGCCTTGCGTCACTAGTCCTTGTTTTTCAAGTATATATGTCTTTGTTTTAAAAAAATTTACATCTCAAATCTCAAGAATCCGTAAAACTAATATAGAATTATTTTTATTTTAAGATAATCTAGTTCCACTAAATTTCGTTTGGCCTAGGAATCTACAGGTTTTTTTTACCACTCCTATATAAATTAAAGAAAGATTGGCTTACGCAAGAATTAACACAGAGCGATTTTGAAAACATGACGCTAGGGCCATGTTTACACTTTGGAGATAAACAACTTTTCCCAAAGGAATGCTCCAATACGGTCAAATCGGTTCACAAAAGACTCCTGCAACTGGTAATAACGAGAATTAAAGTAGCTTTTTTGGATTCTTATTGGTAATAACGAGAATTAAAGTAGCTTTTTTGGATTCTTATTATATGTGTTTAGGTTTTAATCATATAGCTTTGTTTATTTTTTTCTAGGACTGTTACCGTGTTTCCCAAGGGAAACGGTGTTGATGCACACATGTCTCTCTACTTAGAAGTCGCAAATCCTCTCTCACTCTCTGAAGGATGGAGTAGAGTACCAGGTTTCGCTTCGTTGTCGTGAACCAATCCGACGTCATCTGGTCCAAAAGTCTAGGTTAAAAAAAATAAACCCCATCTTTTAATTTCACCATCACCAACATGAAAAAACAAAAATTCAAATTAATCGGTTTTCTTCAGGAATTACATATTTATATAATCTATATTGTTTTTTTTTTAATAACTTTATTTACAGAAACTAGTCACATCTTCACCAAGAAACAGCCAAACCGGGGTTTCAAAAAGGCCTTGCGTCTTACCAAACATCGAGAGAAAATGTTTCTTGTGAACGACAAACTGAAAATTGATATCTACGTAACTGTCATAAATGTTCGTGGTTTGCTAGATTCGCTACCCGAAAAGAAGGACGACATGGTGTATGTCAATGGCTTCCAAGTTGTTGATTCGCAAGTTAATTCAGCAAAATGGATATTTGAAACTTACCCAGAGACTGCTTTGTATATTCAACCACAAGTTCCAGAGCTTAAGACAGCATACATGAACATTAGCATCAGAATCTACGAGACACTTTATAACAGTTCTCTTGAGATGCTCACCGAGGCCGAGATAGTTAACGTTTCCAAGAGTTTGCTTGATCTGACACTAGCTGGTTTTAAGCTCGAATGGTTAAGGGAAAAGCTTGAGAAGGTTTCCGTGGAGAGGAAGAAACTCTCTAGTTATGAAGCTCAGGCTCGGGAACTTGGAAAACAGTTGAAGAATCTTGAGCTGATGATGTGTAATCTCAAAGAGAGCTAATTATAGTATGATATTTATTAGGTTTTTTTTTTTTTGGTTGAAAATTTAGGTTTTTTTAGTTTTCAGTATATCGTCTTATGATTATTTTTTTCCCCCGGACTTCGATTTTGATCTAATCAGAGCTTTTCATAGCTAGTTATGTTTAGAAACCATATGTTTTCAACATAATTTTCGTTTTTAGACCGTAAACTTCTACTGGTACTGTTTTGTGCAACTCACTATCGATTTGACAAGAGACTAGTATATGAGAAAGTAATTTTCTCAATGATGTTAAAAACAAAAAATACTTCGCTTCTCAATTTTTCTTTTCCTTTTGGTGATTTCTTGAGTCTCGAGAATTAAAACGAAACTTCATATCAAAAATAATTAAAACGAAACTTCAATCTCAAGGATCAAATTAGTAACACAAAAAAGAATCAATTTAGTGACACAATACTATGGAAAGATCAGTTCGTTGAATTCAAGGTTCATTTTTCTCTGATAATTTTATTTAAGTTTTAGGATTAAGGAATTTATATTTTTATCTCCGGATATCACGCAAGTCTTCATTAGTTATCTTTATTTGATTAAAAAAAAAAGACCAAAAACGAATTTTAATTATATTTTACTATTTGAGTTTGATAATGTCAGACAAAATATTAATATTTATCATGTGAGATTTTGTAGGTTTAGGCTCATAAATTCTCGGTATATATAATCTACAGGGTTTCGCTTAGCACTACAAAAATTCTTATATTTCTCTACTATAGTTTTATCTTTCGCTTT